TAGAATTTATAGAATATATATATGTATATATATATATATATATATATATATAAAGATACATTAATGATAAAAATAATAATAATTACAGTAATAATAGAAATAATAATAAGTGTATTAGAGAAGCCAAGCTCTTTTAACAGCTGTTTAATCAATACTATTGTGGGTTGACATTTAGCATAAAAAGAATAATAATAAAAATAAAGAGAATAATAATAATAAGTATTATGCTGATAATAACAAGAATAATGGTGATAATAACAGTTTTAGTGAAAAAAAAATAGTTTTTTTTTGGTTTATTTATTCAAATTTCTATGTAGCACCTAGTTTGTTTAATTTATTTATTCTTCTTTCTTTCCTTCCTTCATTTCTTCTTTTATTCATTCATTTATTCATTAAATTAATTTTGTGTTTTTTTTATCTGTCATTCATTCATTCATTTGTTCATTCTATGGTTGCGTTAACTCGTTTATTCATTCATTCGTTCATCTGTTCACTTATTTTTTCATTCATTCATTTATTGGTTCATCCATTTATTGGTTCATTCATTCATGTTATCATTTACTCAACATATTTGATTTACATTCCATAAATGTTCCATCAATCAATCAATCAATCAATCAATCAATCAATTTACTTACTAGTACATTGAATGGTTGAATCATTAACATTATAATCATTATCATCATCGTCGTCGTCATCATCATTATCATCAGGCCCAGGGTGATCAAGATGATGATGATGACTTCAGCGCTGTCAACCCTGTATGTCAAGATACATTTATGGAGAACTTCTTCGAACAGGTTTATAATTTCTTTTATCCGTTAGTTCCTTCGTTCGTTTATTCGTTCGTTTGTTCATTTGTTTGTTCGTTTGTTCATTTGTTTGTTCGTTTGTTCATTTGTTTGTTCATTCATTTTTTCATGGATGCTGTGATTGCGTTTATTGTTAGATTAATTTTGAATTGTGGTGATTTGAATAATGTGATTGGTTTGTTTTGTTTGTATCAAAATTAAATGATTATTATTAAATGATTAAACTGATTGGTTGGTTGATTGATCGAATAATTGGTTGATTGATTGAATAATTGGTTGATTGATTAGCTGATTGATTGATTGATTAGATTGAAGAGATCAGAAGAATGGTTGATAAGATATCATCGAGCGTTGAAGAGGTCAAAAAGAAACACAGTGCAACACTCGCCTCACCTCAATCTGATGACAGTAAGACGACGACGATGATGATGATGACGATGATGATGATGATAATGATAATAATGATGATGATAATGGTGATGATGATGATGATGATGATTTTAGAAATGAAAGAAGAGTTGGAAAACTGCATGGCAGACATTAAAACGATTGCCAACAAAGTCAGGAACAAGCTGAAAGGTCGGTGAAAGAATGGACGAATGAAAAAAATGATTGAAATGAAAGGATGAACAAATGAATGAATGAATAAACGAATAAATGAATGAATGAGTGAACGATTGAAAAAACACACGATTATACCAATAATTAACAATTTAATCAATAATAAACGCTTTAATGATTATATAAACGAATGAGAGAATACATGAATTTATACATAAATAAAAGAACGAATGAATGAATGAACGATTGAATGAATGAACAAATGAACAAAGGAAAGATTTTTTTGCCTAAAAAATGGAAATAAAGTGAAAATGAATAAATAAATTTCTTTCAATCGCAGCCATAGAGCAGGGCATCATAGCTGATGAACAGTCCAAAAAATTTTCTGCCGACCTCCGAATCAGGCAGACTCAAGTAGCCGATTGAATGAATGAATGAATGAATGAATGAATGAATGAATGAACGAATGAATAAACGAATGAATGATTGATTGAATGAATGAACGAACGAATGAATGATTGATTGAATGTATGAATTAATTAACAAACGAATGATTGAATGAATTGATGGATGGATGGGTGATTGCGTGAATGAATAAATGACGATTGATTAAGTGATCTAATTTAATGAATAAATTAATTTGCCGGTCTATTAGTTAGCAGCTTATATAAACGAACGATTCATTTGTCTGACAACAACAACATGATCAATACCTTTTTTTATATCATCCAATAACAACAAATGTTTTTATCCAATCCACCAATCATAAAAAAACATCTTTTTTAAACCATCCAATCATAACAAACGATTCTATCAAATCAACCAATCATAAATTTTTTTTTAAACCATTCAATCACGACAAACGATTCCGTCCGATCAACCAATCACAAAACTCCTCCCAAATCAACCACCAATCGCAGCACGCCACACTTTCGAGAAAGTTCGTCGATGTCATGAATGACTACAACTCCTGCCAGATAGACTACAGGTCCAGGTGCAAGGCGCGAATTCAGAGACAGCTTGAAATAAGTAGGTCAAATTATAAAAAAAATGGGTCAAATATTAATAAGTGGGCCAAGTACTGATAAATGGGTCACATACTGATAGATATATCTAATCTTTTTTTACCATGTTACACTGTGCCATTTATCGGTCACTAATATGTTTG